CTAGCGTCCTCCACTACTCTTCCTCTCTCTCTCTCTCTCCTACACACACACACACACACACACACACACACACACACACACACACACACAGACCTAAGAAACTTCAGTCAAAGACAAAGCCCTTCACACTGTAATTCAGGGCCACTTGCTTTTTTAACTCCTAAGCACATTCCCCTCAGAGCCAGGGAATCACTCATGCCTCACCAGGCTTTCTTCTGAGGAACCCCCTCCCCCCACCTCCCAATGCAGTGGGGAGGTTTTTCCAGCACGAGGTGCAGTGACTGATGCAGACATGCGGACACGAGGCGGGTGGTGCCTCCGGTTCAGTCTCCGACCTCAAACTCATGGTCGGGGTCCCGGGAGCCCCAGGCCCCAGGGGAGGCTTCTCCCACAAGCTGGCTGGTCCTCACTTGTAAATCTCCTCTGCTTTCTCCTTGACTTTGGACTGATCTCCATACTTCAGATCCTCACAGGCTTCCCAGAATCCCAGGTTCTCCCCTGCGCGGGGAGGGGAGGTCCACGCCGATGAAAGCCAGATGGGAAACGGGTGGCACAAGAAAAGAAGAAAGAAGAGAAACGGGTCAGCTGGGACAGACGCCATTCCCGGCGCAGTGACTGTCTTCCCTCTGCACAACGAGCTGAGGCACGAGGCAAGGCTGGACAAGACACTCCTGGGAGAATGAGCCCCATCTTCCTTCCAGGGCCCGGGAGAGGGTTGTTAACTGAGCAAGGGCACCTCCGTGTTCTCTGCAGTGAACCCGGCCGGCACACCTGGTCTGCGGCCTCCGCAGCCGTATGTGTCTGCTGTGAACCTGCGCCTTCCCCCAACGGCACACGAACCAGAGCTCACGTCCACCCCGGGGGGCTGCCACATTCTTTTTCTGCCCTAGAATGTGGCTGCAGCAGGTTCGGCGCAAGCAAGTTCATGCAGGACTCGACCTGGAAGCAGGCATTGCTTCACTCCAGGTTTCCTTCATGAAGGGCCCTGCTGACTTTGCTCATGTTCAGTGACCACACGTGACTTCTGCCTCCTTTGTGTGCAGAGACCCCATCTTTTAGAGCCCCTCGCTGGGCATATTCCAGCCAAAGGTCCTTACAGAGATGCCGCTCAAGCAGCAATGCTGACGGACTGACTCTCCGGGAAGGCCTGGCCAGTGCGGGACTTAACAGAGGGTCACCTGAGCCAGAGAGGCTCTGTTCCTCTGGGCCCAGAAGAAAGCCAGATGTCTCCAGGTCCCTCATTTCTTTCCAACTTGAATTTCTCTAACCAGTTCTCCCCAGCACCCGGAAGTAGTGTGAACACCTAGCTACAGGCATCCCAGGTGGCAATTTTTGCCTGAGAAAACATAGTCACAGCAGTGGGAGAGCAAGAGCCTATGTGTGCGTGTGTGTGCATGTGTGCATGCATGTGTGTGTGTGTGTACGTGTGTGCATGTGTGTGCACATGTGTGGGTGAACCACAGAATGCCACTGTGTGGGGAAATGGACAAGACCACGCCCCCTCTCCATTCAGAGTATTCTTTGAAAGGCTCCCAGGCACTTCAGACTAGAAAAGTCTGCACAACTCCAAGCTAGGTGACCCTTCCCCATAACTCCATAGAGATCCTTCCTTGCCAGCATAAAATTCAAGGTCTTCTTAGGACTGAGACCACAGGCATGAGTAACCAGGCCAGCGATGCTCTTAAGTGCCAGCCACTGGTCTTACATCACACACCATATAAACCAGCTTGCCCAGGGCAAAAAGGCAGTTACTTACTTAGGCGTAAAATTAAATGAGTAATTATTCACAATAGTCAAAAGGTGGAAACAACCACAATGCTCATCAGCAGATGAATGGATAAACAAAATGTGGTGCATACACACAATGAGTATTACTCAGCCTTAAGAAGGACTGAAGTTCTCGCAGAGGCTACAAGGCAGGCGAACCCTGAAGACATCGTGCTAAGTGAATAATAAGCCGGACAGAAAAGTAAGATTCCACTTACAGGGGTCCCTAGTGTAGTCAAATTCACAAAAACAGAAAGTGGGATGGTGGTTTCCAGGGGCTGGGGAGTTAGCGTTCCATGGGGACAGAGTTTCAGTTTGGGATGATTTTTCAAAAGTTCTGGAGATGGATGGTGGTGATGGTTGCACAACAATGTCAATTTCACTGAATGGTTAAAACAATTATGTTTTATGTTATGAGTGTTTCACTGTCGTAAAAAAAAAAATTAAATGAGCGCACAAAAATGTGTACGGGAATGTTCACGGCAGCACTACTCATGATAGCCAAAAAGTTGAAGCAATCCAAATGTCCACCACCTGAGGAGTGGATGAACAAAATGGGGTATATCCATCCGCACACTGGAGCGTTATTTGGCCATAAAAAGAAGGAATGTTACATGCTCCGACAGGAATGGACTTGAAAATACTACGCCAAGTGAAAGAAGACAGAAAGCCACATTTTGTGTGACTCCATTTATATGAAATGTCCAGAACAGGCAAATCTATGAAAACAGAACGTTGCCTGGGGCTGGGGGTGGGGGTGGGGGGAGCAGGGAGCAGAGGAAAAGGAAATGACTTCTGTGGACTAGGAGTTTCTGAGGTGGTGAAAATGTCCTGGAATTACATAGTGGTGACTGTTGGGCAACTCGGTGAATACACTAAAAAACCACTGAACTGTACACTTTAAAGGGTATGCAGATTATGGTTTGTGAATTATATGGTATGTGAATTTATGGCATGGGAAGTATTTCTCAATTTTTTTAAAAAAAAACCTTAATTAAGTGAACTGATTGTTTGCGGGTTCTGTTCATCCCTGAAGTCCCTGGAATCCTGTCAGGAGATCCCCAGTAGTAATATTTGAATGACGCAGGGAAATCTTTCAGATGGATTCTCGCTAAGAAATGCGTGGGTGAGACAAGCTCAGGGTGTAGTTTGTCGTCTGGCCACGAGATGGCACCCTATCCACTTATTCACCAGTTGCTTCTGGCCTGTGCACGTCCCTTCTCCCACCCATCTGTTCCGGGTTTTAATGTATCACACGGCAATTAGGCTTAATTGGAAAAAGGGGATTTTCAAGAATCCCTATTATAATGTAATGCGCTGCATCAAGCAGTCAAACAGGATAATGGGATGGCCCGTGGGTTAGTTTTCAGGTGCAACCTCACAGACAAGTAGTCTTGGAGAGCAAGTGTCAGGGCTCCAATGCGATGCTCTCCGTGGCTGGGCACTCGGTACACGAGCAACAGAATCCCATAAAAATAAATATTTCAGGGAAGGTGGTGGAGCCAGTGGGATGCCCATCGTAACAAAATCGGTTCTAATTTGGTCTTTGCCTTTCCCAGATGTTTCCACGGGGCAGCATATTTAAGAAGCTGCAGGTGCTCGCAATCATAAGACGTCCCGAGCTGGGCTATAAGTGTGACCCCACCCCTTCCAATCAAATCCTCACCCTCTAAGGAGGCAGACCCAGAGCTGAGACAGCGGCTCTCCATCACGGCCACACGTTAGAATCATCTCGGTGAGTTCTCAAAACTTCAGAGATTCCACCCCAAACCAATTGAAAAAGGAACCTCTGGGGATGGGATCCAGGCAAACATGTTTTAAAACAGCCCCAGGCTGTGAGCTCTGGCCTGAGCTCTTGTCAGTTAACCCTGAGGATCTGCCCCAAGCGCAGGGGACACAGAAGCCTGTGGGCAGGTGACCCAGGGGTGAGAGTGAGCGAGTGAGGCCCGTGGAGGGCATAGAGCCTTGGAAACGTGAGTAACGCTAACGTGGATTCTGTGAGCAGAAGCAATTTCCCCCAACTCTGGGGCCCCTTGGAACCGGTGGAAAGGATGGGTCCAGGGAGCTCCTGTTAAGAGTCAGAGCTATAGAAACACGTACCCAGCGATGCTCGGAACCCAAGGCTGGATACTGCAGGAGTGTTCCTAAAAGGAAATATTTTATTGAAGAAAATTAGAAACCCACCACTGAATTCTTTCTTGAGAAAGTACTGGAAGCTCTGCCGCCCCTTGGGGTCTCGGATCAACTCGCTGAAGTTGAAGGCCCACCGCTCCACCCGCATCTTGGTTGGGATCTCCACCCTGCGAGGACAAGCACCATGAGCGCTCTGGACACTCAGCGGGAGGAGGGGCTGTGCCAGGCGGGGGCCTTCACCCCACTCACCTCCGTTAGTCCCACGGCCCCATCCTCCCCTCTCCCCCCATCCCAGCACAAACAACCCAAGTCATCGCTGGCTAGGAAAACACAGCCTTGGACAAGTCCCCTGGGCCTCGTGTCAGGAGCTGGCCACCTGGCTGGTGAGAAGGATGCCGCCAGCGGACAGCCTCGTACTCTGGCCCCCCTCCCTTAGCCATCAGGGCAAAGGGACACAAATGCCTCCTCCAAGGTCTGTGGAGACCGGAGGGTCAGGCTGCCACACTAGACCAGGAGAGATCCCAGAACAGCACCGGTGACAGGTGCTGTGACCACTGCTATCCCTGGATGCTTGTCACCCACCGCACAGCTGCCCCTTCCCCACAGGGCCACCTAGTGGTTCTCCCCCTACCTGCCTTCAGCCCACCTGCCCCCAGGTAGGCCCCCGTGTGCCATCTGTGCACCCTTTCCCTGAGCTTCCCCTGAGATGCAACACCCTCTCCACTCCCCGTCATCTCCCTAAAAGTTCTCCCTGATCCCAGGCAGGACTTGCGAGCCCGGCCAGAATGGGTCTCACATTCCAAAAAATCAGGAAAACAGTTGATTTTTCTCCTATTCCTTATGGAAGTCTCCATACTCCAACACGGCCCCTTGGAAACAGGTTTCTGAGTCCATGACACCACGTTTCCTGCTGATGTCACAGCTGGAACCATGTCTGGGTACAACTGATGTCTGTGGGAGCTCAAGTTAGCCAGGCCAGTTTACACTTTCCATAACATCAGCATGAAAACAGTAGGAATCCCGGATTAAGATGAACCATTTATGAGTGTCACCCTCTGGGAAGCACTGTGCTTTACACACCCATCGCAGGGCCCTGCAGAGAACACGGGCCACTACATGCCACAACATGGGGAAACCTTGGAGGTATTATGCTAAGTGAAAATGCTAATCACAAGGGTCCACATATGACATGATTCCATCCATAGGAATGTCCAGAATAGGCAAATCCACAGAGACAGAACATAGTTTACTGGTTGCCTAGGGTTGCAGTAGGGGGATTCTTTTTTGGATGATGAAAATGCCTTAAAAATTGACTGTGGGGATGGTTGCATGGCTCTGTGAATATAGTTAAAAAAAATTGAATTGTACACTTTAAATAGGTGAATTGTACAGCGTGTGAATTATAATACAAAACATTACTTTTAAAAAAGATTAGCAATAGACTTACCATATGACCCAGGAATCCTGCTCCTGGGCATATATCCAAAAGGAACCCTACTTCAAAATGACACCTGTACCCCAATGTTCATAGCAGCACTATTTATAATAGCCAAGACATGGAAACAGCCTAAATGTCCATCAACAGATGACTGGATAAAGAAGAGGTGGTATATTTATACAATGGAATACTATTCAGCCATAAAAACCGACAACATAATGCTATTTGCAGCAACATGGATGGCCCTGGAGAATGTCATTCTAAGTGAAGTAAGCCAGAAAGAGAAAGAAAAATACCATATGAGATCGCTCATATGTGGAATCTAAAAAAAAAAACATAAATACAAAATAGAAACAGACTCATAGACATAAAATACAAATTTGTGGTTGCCAGAGGGACGAGGAGTGGGAAGGAACTGGGATTTCAAAATGTAGAACAGATAAACAAGATTGTACTGTGTAGCACAGGGAAATATATACAGGATCTTGTGGTGGCTCAGAGCAAAAGAGAATGTGACAATGAATGTACGTATGTTCATATATAACTGAAAAATTGTGCTCTACGCTGGAATTTGACACAACATTGTAAAATGACTATAACTCAATAAAAAAAAGTTTAAAAGAGTAAAAAATTTAAAAAAAAATTTTTTTAAAGTTACTTCTAAAAGAACACCAGTATATATCGAATACATACAATTTGGCATTTAAATCCCAGAACTGGGTGTCATCTGTTATCCAAGGATTGCTGGGGAGGCAGCCTGACATGATGGCGTCGTTGGACGAAAACTGCTCGCTGTATTTGACGATCCTGAAAAGCAAATGGAAAGCGATTTCCTAGACATTCAACACCCCGGGGACCAAATCAATACTCACATTGATTGACCAGCATGTCCCCCTTTAACCTGATCGATTTCATTACATCCTTATTACTGTCTTCTGAGAAACACGTTCTAATAGCCCTGGGGACTGGTGGGTATTTCATAAGCTCTGCCTCTCGTCTCCTGGTGAGATGAAACACCATTCCCCGATCCGGTGCCTTTGTGATTTCTCTGCACCTATTTCATTAAAATATACTTTATCCTGAGCTTTCAAAACACAAAGCCGATGCAGTTTTCACGGGTTCAGACAAGTGTCTTTGGCACCACCTTGGAAGCACGAGGTTGCCAGGGACTCGGTGGGATCCTGTTGCCACCTTGGGGGCCACCCTTTATAGAGATAATGCCTGTGTTGGGAACTTAGACCAATTGTTCAAAACGGTGGTCTTACTGAGACAAATGCGGGCAAGAGCGAATTCCCTCTAGCTGAGCTCCACCCGAGCCGACCCATTTCCCGGCATCTGGGAAATCTACAAAAACCTGCGTGCTTCTGCCCACGTGGAGGGCATGGAATTGCTTCCCTAGCGAACGCATAAAGCACCTGCCACGAAGCCTGCCCACAGCAGGAGATTTTGACAGAGCTGGACCCATGCCCGAGAGACACACGGAAGCTCTCGGTTTAGCGTTCTGTGCAGAACTCAGCTCCCCTGGCTCAGTTTCTCCCAAGACCTTCTTATTCTTATGAGACCTTTACAGTGGAGCAGCTGCAGGGAAGGAAAAAAACTTATCCACAGGTCTGAACACTAATGATGTCAAAATTATGGTAATGAGTCTCTGAGACCAAAAAAAAAAAAATTGGAAAGTGGGTCTAAGAAGCAGCCTAATATAGCCTTTGAGCCTCCTCTAATGTCTTTCCTAATTGGTTTCATGAAACTGGGTTTCTGGAACATCAGAGTAGACGGCTGTCACTCTGTCACAGAACAACGATGATCCCTGTAACCCAAAGTGAGCACCCACTGAGAACCCAGGTGCACGCTCATCTGTGACTGGGCTCAGTAGCCGCGGGCAGAAGTCCCTGAAAAGGTGGGTGAGGTCGGGGCACATTTTCTTGAGCAGGTGGTATTTTGGCAAACTAGGGGCTTGGGGAGATATAAAAAGACATCTGAAGATTTTTACAAGAGCCTAACCCCTCACCACATCGGGAGAAAGGCACTGGACGAGACACAGCGTCTTCCATCTCGCTCAGCACCGCTACCGGAGCCTCACACAGGCAGAATAAATGAGGAGTCGTGTTGTGTTTCTTCAGAAAATGGAGCCAAGTCCATTTTCACATATGCAGAAAAATCGCAGAGTTAGCAAGGCAATCCCAAAATGATTTCCCCATTTCAAAAGGGTCACTGCTTACATCTCAGGGGACACTAAACCTCTCTGTGTCTTCCAAATAATGCCCTATGGGGGACGGGATCAAAACAGCCTGAAGGTTCAATAAATCAAACATAAATTTTCAACTTCTAATCGGATTTTAAATCAAAAATTAACCCCATTTATCAAGACAATGAACCACGGGGTCCAGCCTTTCGACTCTTCCCATCCACACAGACAGACGTGTGCAGACACCCACTCCGACCCGTGATTTTACCTAACCCACGATGAGTCCTGGAGACTCAACACGGAGCAAAGAACTAGTAACGTAACCCCTCAAGAGACAGCTTTCGTCCCTCAGAGCCCTTTCAGATCTTACACCAACCTATGACTTGTCAAATTTGCTTTAAGGCAAGTCATAGGTTGTCCCAGCAAGACCAACAAATCAGAGACGTACCCTCCGAGGGACACTGAGGACTTCACCGTGGACCTCATTAAGGCCTGTCGGTAGTACATGATCTGGAAGAGACACAGCTGTTAGACGTCCAGCTTCCCCACCCCGGGGTGTCACGAACACTGACGCGTACACACGGCCTCCAAGCCGGAAGCCATTTCTCCATCAACGCACCCCATCCCGTTCCCTCAAGCCAGCCACCTCAGTGCCAGCGGGGCTCAGGTCTTCAGTATTTCATTTAGGGACCTCCTTAACGCATCATGTGTTAGTCTCAGAAAAGGCACCAACAGGGGAATAAAAAGTCCTACGGTGCATTAAACCGAGACACAGGACAAGGACAGAAGCTGAGCCTTTCCCTTAAATGCCTCTGACTCACAGGAGCAAATCTAACCTCAACAGCCAATGCTTCCCAGGGGCTCTGTTTTGAGCCCTGGATACAGGATTTGCCAAAACAGGTAGCCTGTCACCCTGGACAGATACTGGACGGCGCTGTAATTGTAGGAGCAGGGACCAGGGTGGCTGCACCCTCTCCCCCGTCCCTCCGGTCTGTGCCTTCAGAGGGCCCTTCATTTCCCGAGCCAGACCTTACGAGAGATGCTTTGGCTTTCTGTGCTGTCTGTCCACTTGGAAACCACTGTCTGCAACATTACACGTGGTTTTCATTTCATCGCTGAGTGCAGAGCACGAAGCCAAAGTACATATAATTTGTTAGAGGATTTAAAAATCAAACTTCCCCGGAACTGGGAGACTAAATTACCTCTTTCCTGACAGAAACGACCGTTTGTTTCTGTAAAATAAAGAAGCAAGAACCATTAAACAGATGTCATTAAATCATTTGAGTTCAAATACCCCATTTGAAAAATAAAAGCCCTTCCCTAAGAAAAAACTGCCCACCTTTTTTTTTTTTTATTTAAAAGAGAATTCCCCAACACCACCACCACCACTTCTGCCCTATTTGATGCAGCTATTGGAGAATTAGATCAACCAAGAGATTTGGTGAGGGAAGGAGTATGATTTATCACTATAACTTTGCCCTACTCTCCTCAAAGCCACGATGAATTAAAGACTAAAGCATGGGACTGGTCGCAGCCTACCGCAGTGCCCACAGAACCATCTTAAATGGAACGAGACATAAAGATGGGAGAGCAAGCCACCTGACCAACCGCACAAGCTGGCGGGGGAGGAGCTACATTGCCCCAAAATAAAGCACCCAATTAAAAGACTCAAGCCCACTGAAAGCTGAGCCCCAGAGCTGGAAGAGGACAGCAGGTCCCATCCTCCTTCTGAAGTCACGGAAGCAAGTCCCCGCTGGGGATGGGCTGCACAGCGTCCTCCCTCTGGACTCTCTGAGGTACAGCAGAGAAAGGATGGCTCCAAGAGAGGCTCCAGGATTCTGGAAGCCCCTGGAAACCATTCGGCCCTGTCTCCTACTAAACTCTCCTACCATCTGACACGCTTCCTTGGTGTCACTTTTCTGCCCCACGCAACTCCTGGAGGTTGGGCACAGCTGGTGATGCCAATCTCAGCATTCCTAGGTTTGGTTGTGTCCGGGGGCTGCTTGATGCTGACTCTTAACACTTTAAATTTTCGGCTGCTTAATACTCAGGCTGCTTAATGCAACTGGGTTTTCACTTGGAATAGAGTCAGAAGTCCAAGGAGGACACTAGTTCCCTTAGCCCGTTAGTAAAATAAGTCGTGGACCAGAGTCCTCCAATGGAGGAGGGTCCAATCTGGAACTTCAGATACGAGTCTTTGCTTTCTAACCCATGCTGGGTAGCATTTTGCTTCCTTACATTGATTGCTGTTATCTTATTGCTTTTCACAGGAAATCCTTTTTCCCAGGTAGGGGAGGAGGGAGAGTTCTCTCAGAAAGGTCGATGATGCTCAGGTAGGTCTCTCTGATTTGGACCCACACACCCTCTAACTTCCTCCTTAAAAGCACTGATCACAAGTGTAATTAGAGATTTGTTTGTGTGACTCTTGGTTTAACATACGTATCACCCATTAGGCACCATTAAGAGCAGGAAGACCATGTTTATCTTCCCGAGCATAATGTGTGGTGCAGAGTACATGCTCAGTAAGTATGAAATAAGTGATGACTGTGGCGTGCTTGGAAGCCTAGAAAAATGGAGATGTACCTTAAGGTAAACAGAATATTTTTCCACTTAAAAAAACTGAAAATACTCCCCAAGTGACCCAAATATTTTGGCAATCACACTACCTCTCCCCATTCTCTCCTAACTTAAGACTGTTTTAGAAGACACACGTTTCAGGTAGAAAAGGATCCTGGGGTCAGAGTGGATTTGCATTCAAATCTAATATAAGCAGATTCTTCTACTCGAGTTGTGTGGAAGTGGATTAAGAATGGTGTCTATGACCTCTGCTCAAAAGGGAAGCTGGACTTTTGTGTGATAATAACCACTGAGCAATAGTTTACTAAAGGCAATTTACACCTCTCTGAGCCCTTACAGAGTTTAAGCAAGGGAGGTTCAATTATTCTGATTTTCAGCTGAGGAAACCAAGGCCCTGAGAAACTTTCTCAACATCTCGTCGGTAACTGGCCAAGCCAGGATTCAAACCAAGATATGGCCTTCGCAAAGCTGAGGAGTGATCCGAGAGAGAGGAAACTGTCTGCTCTCTTCATCAATTCCTTCCTTGCCCTGAAGACAAGGATACCACAGAATGGAATGTCTCTGTCCAGCCATTTCATTTAAAGTTAAGACAGAAAAAAAGAATGCTAGAGCCAGCTCCAATCACAAGAGGACACCCCAGCCCAGAAAAGACTCTTTCATTAACACTAAGGATGGTAAAATGAACTCCTAGCTGTAAGAGAAATAAGATCTGGGCATCTAACGCACAGCATGGTGACTGTAATTCACAATCCTGTATTATACACCTGGAAGCTGTTCAGAGAGGAGACCTTAATGGTTATCACCACCAAGTCATAGTTACACAAGGGGACGGAAGTGTTAACGAATCCTGTCGGTGGTATACTTTGCCATATATACACACACACACCTAATCGTTACATTGTACACCTTAACCTGATATATGTTCTATGCCACTAATAGCTCAATAAAGCTGAGGTGGGGGAAAACCACTAGGAGTGGTAAAGATTGCAATTGTACTAGGTCTGCGCCCAGCAGGCAGCGTCATAAACACCCTCCTTCAAGGTGCTCACAACCCGAGATGAAACCTCCTGTCCATCACGGTTCTACGGCCACGGCGATCCTGAGCGGACGAACACAGACAGGATGAGGCAGGCTCTCAGGCTGCCCGACGTCCGCCGGGCTCCACGGGGAGCTGTCTGTCCTTGCACGTGGGTCACCAGCACACCCGCTTCTAGTCTTCCCGGGCGTGGTCTGACTTTGGCCTCATGCGTTTATCTCTGGGGCCATTGTCGCAGTCTTCCGGGCTTTTAAAATTTTTATATTTTAATTCACTTCTTGACTTTATTACCCTTTTAGGGTTCTGCATCGATGGTGTGGTTTGCTGTTGGTTTTCTGATTCCCCAAATTACCAGCCATCTTCTGGGAATCAGACTGCAGCGAATAGGGTTGAGTCTAAGAGCCTGCCCATCCCTACGCTGGATTGTCCATGTGGATTTTAGAGTTTATTTCTTGCTTTAAAAACCACTGTCCAGAAACTAACACAACATTGTACATTGACTATACATCAATTAAAAAAAATTTTTTTTTTGCTTAAAAACCCACTGTGGCATCTTCCTCCTCCAGATTGACATACGGGGCATCACTGTCTTTCAAGGAATGTGTGTGTATCTGGGCAGTGGGGGAGAGGGTTCTGGACTTTTCTGAAAAATGGAGACAGAATTTGATGGATTGAGGGTAGTTTTAAGAAACAGTATCAACTTTGGAGACAGAAAGGTCAAAATCCTGGTTCTGTCACTTACTGGCTACATGACTTTGGATGAGTTATTTAGCATCTCAAAGCCTCTGCCTTCTCATTTGTTAAAGGGAATAGAAAAAAGGTGGAGTGATAACATAATAGACTTAAGTGATTGGCACCCAGCAGGGACTCAGCGCTCCGTGGTTACTAATGAGGGTCCACATACTGCTGCTGAGAAGATGCAGGGTCCTAGTTACCAGATAAAATGCAGGGTGCCCGGGCAATATTTGGGACACAGTCATACCAACAAAAGTTATTCGCTGTTTATCTGAAATTTAAATTTAACTGAGCATCCTGTATTTTATTTGCTAAATCTCACAAAGCTAGCATTGATACTGTTAGTACTTAGCCAAAGGCCATAAGAAACATTTAAGTGAAGTTATTAAAACACACACACACACATTTCTAAGCAATTCAGAGAAAACTGCCGCACAACAGAATAAGAAAGAAACATGTTTTTCACCCTGGAATCCACGCCGAAGCCCCGGCTTTCTCAGCTGTGGGCCCTCCTGCAGCGAAGTCACGTCTTTAATCCTTGTCCCGGTGACACACTTTGCTACAGTAGGAACCCTCCGACCAAGGAATCTTCACATTCTTTGCATTCTTGGAATTCTAACTTATTATTTTTCCACTGACAGAGTTGCCCAAATAGGGACACATCCAGAGCTTGTTTACACAGCTTTCTGGCCAGCTTGCCGGCCCTGAAACCCAGATGCAGGCTGCAGACAACTGTCACAGGGCAGGAGGGGTCAAGCCCAGGCCCCCGAGAGAGAGACCCTGGGGTTACTGCGGACCAGAGAGCGGGAGCCCAGGGCAGGGCTGAGCAGGGAGCCTGGGATCCGGCGGCCAGACAGAAACAGAGGTGGGGGCCGGGCGAGCTATTGAGTGAGACGCAGGATGGGGAGAAGCATGGAGAATCCGAGAACACAGGCACTGAGGGCAGAGGCCGTCAAAAGCCAGAAGCCAGGAAATTCGGGAACTGAGGCGGTTAATGCAAAGCAGACATGGAAAGAGGTGGGGCGGAGGACAGCTAGCTGTCCAAGGGGACCAGAACTCGAGGTTGAGATCCCCCGGAAGTAAGTCTCCGCCTGCCTGTCCTTCCTGATGCGGTGGAGGCAGGACCGCCTCCACAACTCCCAGGGCCCAAGATAAAATGAAAATGCAGGGCCCCTTGTCCAGGGGGAAAAAAAAATTTTAAGACAGTGACAGCAGAACACAAGCCAAGCACGGGCCCCGCTGAGTGCGGAGCTGTGGGCCGGGGCACGGACCACCCGCCGGGGACCTTGGTCCCGGGTGCAGGCCAGAGGTGGCACATGACCTCTCCTACCAGGCTGCTGTGGGAATTTAATGAAATGCAGCAAAGCTGCTAGAAGCCACACCACGGACTTTCGGACACATCAGGCAGGGCACGGGTGCCCATCAGCTGAGGTTCAAACCCCGGCTCCAGCGCTTCTGAGACGTGCATCTTGGATGAGCTGCCCACCCCCTCGGCCTGTCCGCTCAGAGATGCTAGTAATATCTGTTACCCCACGAGGCCGCTGTGAGCCCTCCCGGAGCGCTGACCAGGTGTGAGCCCTCGGCCCCAGGCCCGGCACACAGGGAGCTGTCAGCCAGCCTCACCGCTCCTCCAGCCACCATCGGTTACACGGGAGCCACAGGAGGAAAGCTACTTGTCTCCAGTCGGTGGGAGTATTCAGGGGGCTGTCGCTTCTGGAGGGCTCCCCTCCAGGACCACTGCTTAACACTGTGGACCCACATTCCTATCTTTCACCCACAGGCCCGTGTGCCCACGAGTGCAAACTGCGCTGTTCTCTGCGGCTGTTTGTGGACGAGGCAGGGACGTTGAGATGGGTGTGCACCTGCCTCCCGCCACCTCCAACAAGGGTAGAAGCAGAAGAAGGTATCAGGACAAAAGAGGAAGCCCGCCAGGTTCAGCTCCCCAAAACAGGGTCTAGGGTTTCCGGGGTGCCGTGAGTTCTCTCTCTGGCAGCACGGAGACAGACAGTGTCTCTACGTTGGACATCACTCCAGTCACATCACATAAATGACCCTGCTCAATTTTCTGAAGGAGGAACTACTGTTAGTCCCATTTTATAGATGGGGAAACTGAGGCTTTGGATTTGAAGGGCTCCAGAGCCTGGCCAAGATTACACATTCAGGGAGCGGCAGCGCTGGGAGTCGCTCTGATAGCAAAGCTCTCCTCAGCATGCCACACTGGCCCGCATCCCAGAATGACCCCGGTAACCCTGTTGGGGTCTGAGGGGGGGCCAGTCCTGGCCACCACTGCCCACAGCCATGCTGGTGCCCAGCTACCACCCAGCCTCCACACCACAGGGCCAAATTCTCTCTGAAATAAAGGGGAGATAGGGGGCTGTGCATGCCTGTGCCCCTGCACACCCCAGGAAATCAGAACTGAGAGAGGACACGCTCTCTGGGGGCTGACCTCGGCTCTGGCCGGTTCCTCCCAGGGCTGGGTAGCCCCCTGGCCAACAACCATCAGCCTGAGGAAGTCGGTCACCCAGGGCCCTAGACACCCGCCAACCCAACACCCTCCTTTCTTAACCTTGATGGTGTTTATTTCTCTTGGATTATGCGCCTCTGTTTATGGAAAAGAGACATCTTTTCAAGAATTTACGAATTCTCAGAAACAGGCTCTCTCTTCCAACCGGTACCAGGAGCGCATCTCTGAAATGAGCCAAAAATCCGACTTCTTCGCGCACCCAGGGCCTCAGGGACACACTGCATGGTCTCTCAGGGCAGCTAAACGGGGGACACCTAGTCCAACTGTGGGAAATGTTGCAAACGGATAAAGTCCAGCACCGGCCTCCACCCCAACAGCTGGGTATGAGGGGAGGGGCCCCGCTGGCAGAATTACGGTTCTTGGTTCTTCTCAACACACCACAGCAGGGAGAGGGCAGACGGAGAAGGAGAGCTGGAGGGAGAGAGAGATGGAGAAGACCGTGGGTCAACAGCAGAGACCGCGCACCCGGGTCAAACGGCACCACGGCAGCGACAGCCCTCAGCCTCAGCTTCGGGCTGTGCTCTGACTCTGAGCTGAGAGCACTGCTGGCATCTGGCAAGAAATGGGCTTCGAAAGCCAGAAGGCAGGCTCTCCTTCCCCACCGCCACCAGAGAGCCTGAGGATGCTGCCTCAGCGAGGAGGGGTCTGGCCTCCCGCCCCCTCCCCCGGGGACGTCACCCCAAATAGCACCTAGGACGGCCTGCTCCACCCTTCCCTCCTCCACACCAGAGAGGTTTCCAGAGCTGCCAGTTATCCATTAAAAAAAAAAGGCAAACCCTCCACCCGGGTTCAGTATTTTCCTTGATGATTCTGTTTCCATGGCAACCAAGCCCGACAAGGCCTCACAATTATCTGTCATCTGACAGGGGGAGCGTGGAGCAGGCCGCTGAAAGCTGACGGTGCCAGGCGTGTATCAAAGGAAGGGTTACTCTGAGTGGTGGACCAGGGGCCCGGGGATGCCCCTGGGGGATGCCCTTCAGGGACGCGACGTCCCCCTCCTCCCGGACTCCACCCCTAATCCCTGGCCTCCGGCTCACGCACCACAGCCATCCTGAGTTCAGGGCCCCAGTGGGCAAAGTAAACAAGTCAGAGCCTCCTCGCCAGCTTTTTCCTGCTCCTTCCTCTTTCGCTTTCGACTTCCCCTTCCTCCTTCCTGGCACATCCCTCCCGCTTTCGGCACTGCGGAGGCTGACACCCTATGCTAAAGAGGTCCCTGACCCCTTGCTGCCCAAAGACAACGTTAGACAGAGGGCAATGAAACCATCGACGACTAGTTTAAGTGGGTTTAGGCTGGTTTACTGGAGTCTGTGTTTCTCAGCAGGGGCAGTCTTGTCCCCCAGGGCACACAGGACAATGTCTGGAGATGTTTTTGATGGTTAGGACTGGGAGGCGGGCAGGGTAAGGCACAGAGCTAGTGGCATCCAGTGGGTAGAGGCCAGCGATCCTGCTACACATCTCGCAATGCACAGGACAGCCTCCCTAAAAAATTACCTGGCTCCAAATGGTGCCAGAGAAACTCTAACTGGGGCGCTCACCTTTCCAGCAGTTTCTGAACAGCATTTCCTCAAATAAAAATCCATCATAGGAAACTGGGCCTCCATCATAAATGGCGGCCTACTGGGGGAAAGGGTCCTTTTGAAACAAAAAGCATAGGGGATTCTTTGAAAAGATCCCACCTTACTGAGATGCAAAAGAAAGTGGGACATTCCAGGTCTTGTCATGTGCAATAAGGTTTAAATCCAAAGTTGACTCAACGGTTGTGAGCCTGGGGCTTATAGTCTTCAGGGCGTGGGTGAACTGGTGCAGTTGTGTGCAAAATGCCTGTCTGTGCATCTCTGGGTGAAATGAGTTCATAACTTCTATCAGATTTTCAAAGGGGGGAGTGACTCAGGAAAGCCTGAAAACCAGCCATCTAGACCTCATTTGCTCTGATCTGCACTCTTGTCTCTCTATGCAGAACCCTCGCCATGCAGCCCCTCCCCGATATCACAAAGCCCACGGGCCTCCTCTCTATGGCAGTCCCAAAGCGGAGAGACCATTGCTTCACAGACACAAATAGACAACAGACCTGTGGACACCTTCCCAGGCTAAGACCCTGACCTGGGCCCTGCCCAAAGCACGCAGCAGAGACCTACCTGGTTTACCTGAACTTCATTCGGATTGGTCACTCGGTCCAGGCCATAGTCCAGTACGTTGTTCATTCCTGGCTGAATGGGGAAAAGGAAAAAAAAAAACATAAGGACCACTACTGGGAGAGTCTCTAATTTCTTATTAACTTTGGATCTTGGCCAAGCTGCCAATTGTGAGACCAATCTGAGACGAGTTTGTGGCCCAGCCCACAGGGAGCTACAAGGGTATGTAAGATTCTCTAGGTGAGCTGTTGAGTTTCACAGGGCTGTTCAGCCACCACAGCATCCCCAGAATCTAACAGTGGGATGAGTGGAGGGAGGGTGGCTGGATGGATGGATGAATGGATGAGTGGAGGTTGGATGGATGCATGGAGGATGGATGGATGGATGGAGGGATGGATAGATAGATGGATGGATGAACGAATGGATAGATGGATGGAGTGAGGATGGATGGATAGATGGATGAATGTATAGATGGATGAATGGATGGATGGATGGAGTGCAGATGGATGGATGGATGGATAGATGGAGGGTGGGTGTGTGCATGGATAAATGGATGGATGGATGGAGGATGGATGGATGGATGGAGGGTGGGTGTGTGCATGGATAAACAGATGGATGGATGGATGAATGGATGGATAGATGGATGGAGGATGGATGGATGGATGGATGGACGGGTAGATGGATGGATGGAGGTTGGATGGATAGATGGAGGGTGGGTGTTGCATGGATAAACAGATGGATGGATGGATAAATAACACACAAACTCAGTGAGAGTTCACTGGGATTAGCACACAGGACTCATGTCTACCCTCACAGGGCTCCTTCCCCACTCTACAGTCTATTGCTTTGGAGAGTCCAGGCTTCCGTCAGGCACCCAGGGGATCCAATGCTGGTTCTGTCATTTCCTAGCTGTGAGGAAGATCTTGGAAACTGCTTCTCCTCTCTGCATTCTCTACCTCTTCTGAGAACTAGAGATGATCCCTCCTACTTCTCAGCTTCTTCTGAAGATTTAACAAGATGGACTGTGACGCTTTCAGCCGAGGGTAGCTCTTACTAAGCAAAGGATTGTGTTCATTTTAAGATCATGCATATGAATGCCCAGCCCTAAGCTGGGTCACAGTCTTTGTCCTTATCCATCAGGCAACTAACTCTCCAGCCAGTCTTGCCTGGTCTCTCTCAGTTCCTTAAGGCCAGCAATTTGAGACTTTCACCTCCTCTCTGTTAGCCTGGTGCAAGCAAACGCTGAGTCTCAGTCCATGTGATTAACCAGGCTGACTACACTGAAGCAGATGCAGGAAGAAACTGGGCTTCCTCCCCACAAGATTCAGCCTCATCAAGACGACCAGCCACATTTTTAGCTCAGAGATAGGGTTGCCAAATAAACTACGGGGCATCCATTTAAGTGTGAATTTCAGATAAATAACAGATAATTCTGATATATAATTTTATATAAAATATATTCTTTTTTAGCATAAATACACAGTATGTAAAAAAATATCAGGACATAAATCATTTGGTGGCTATCTGAAATTCAAATTTAGCTGGGCATCCTCTGTTATTGGTTAAATCTGGCAACTTAACTCAGCAGGCCACTATGGGGACAAGAACTTGGCATACAACCTAGGCAAGGGAGAGGAAAAAAAAAGAAATAGAAAATGGGTGGGGAGGAGGACAGGGAAGGGGAGCCGACCTCCTCACCCTAGTTGTTACACATGGACCTTGATCAGTAAATATTTGTCAAGAACCCACTCTGGCTGATGTGGTGCTCAGCCCTGGGGAGCCCCGGTGAGTGTGAGCCCGGCCTCCAGGCAGCCCCGGCGGGCATCTCAAGGCACTTCCTGTCTCACGGAGGAGGAGGCAGCCACTCAGCAATTAATCACACAAATGATAAATTGCAGTTGTGACAAAGTGCTCCAAAGGGACAATACAGACAGATCCTGTCCAGCCCTCGACAGGATCTAATCTAGCGTGGGGGCAGAGGCAGCTGTGGTCCTCAGAATCCAAAACGTCTCCCCTGCTCATTTTCACATCAACTGTTGTTTGCACTGTGCCCAGATCTGTAACTTTGCTCCATTTGGGTAAACAATGAGGGCGGAGCACCGCTTTCCTTCATTAAGGGAAGCTCCCTTCCCTTAATCAACCAGCCCTCGCTGCGCCTCGCCGCGCCTGGGTCTCGTCTCTGGGAGAGCACTGCTCCCTTTGACGGCGGTTTGGATTTTGAGCAACTTGAGCTGGAAGTGGGGCCCATCCACAGCGACACGTGTGACAGGTGGACTCACGTCCCAGCACTGCCTAAGCCACTGAACCTCTCTGAGCCTTGATCTCCCCATCTGAACAACGAGGACAGTGACACTCCCAACTTCACAGCATTGTCATCAGGCGCGTGGGACCATCCACGCCGAGAGCCTAACACAGGCACGTGGCTTTGAGCTGGTATTTCGTGCCCGGTACCTAATTCCTTAGCTGGCACAGAGTCAGGGCCCTGTGAAGGGTTCACAGGTAAGTGAACAGACCCGTGAACAGGGTACTGAATCTGCTCGGTAACTTCAACAGTTGGTTACCGTCAGTCCCCATCCTGGAGGCGCCACGCGCCACCCAGCCAAATGCTTTGTCTGCCTGGCTGGCTTTTTTCCCGCCGAACTGACAGCTTGTTCGGGTCTCCGGGAGACAGTCTGACAGTCCCTACGCTCCCCGGCTCCCTGGGTTTGTCAGTCAGATTGCTCAGTTTCCAGGCGGAGACTGACTTCAAACAGGATGCTTTTCAAACAGCGCGCGTTCCTAATCCTCACACTCTCGGGCTACCAAGAGGAGGAGAGTGTTTTAAGAAAGCCAGGGAGAGGAGGACCCAGGTGCACCCTGGCTTCACCTCTGACTCCTGGTCCAGCTTTGACTAGGGGGAGCAGCAGTGGAGAGACCGGGCGTGAAGAGTGGGTCTGTGTCTGAGGAGCTTTACGTCTGCTGCCAGCACCTCAGAGCCTCGTTCTGAACTTGGCTCCCCAGTGCTATCAGGGAGGCAGCAGGCCCCCCGAACCCTGGTGCCATGTTTGCTAGCGCCCCAGCAATGCCTGCAATGCTCTAATGACCGAGGAGGTTACAAAGAGCCCTTGGGTGCACTACGAGATCACGTGACACCGTCGTGGGAGGCAAAAGAGCCCAGGGATCAAGAGGGAGGGCTCCCGCGGGTGGGTTCAGATCCTCCGGCGCTCACCCGCTGTGTGACTTTAGCCAGATAACAATATTGTTCAGCCTCCGCTTCCTTATCAGCAAAATGGGACTAATCACACTGCCGGGCACACAGGGCTGCAAAGGTGGAATGAGACAGTGCGTGCAGAGCAAGGCGCAGCATACTGCAGGTTCTCCACGCACGTCTGCCTTGATGGCGGCGGCGACAACGACAGTGACAACAGTGGTGGTGACGGTGACAGAGGCAGCAGGGGAGGTGGTGGACACAGGGGAGGTGATGGCAGAAGCGGGCATATGGAGACACATCAAACATGTGTACCTCTGTACCATACGGTGAAGAACCACTCAGCCGTGTGCCTGGTGTGGGGGCTGAGCGCCTGCCGCGGGAGAACAGGGGAGCACTCGGAAAGTCTCTTTCTCATTGTGTCCCTATAGGCCTCCTGGTTGCAGGGACTGAGGGAAGGAGAGGGACCCGGGCAGACGTGCACGGCCAGCCTACATCGCTTGGGGAGGGGTATAGGCACACTGCATCTCCACACCACACAGTCTCTCCATGTGATTCGGAAGCCACGCTCCACCCTACAAGGAGCAGGACTGCTTTGGTCACGGGGGCCACTGGACACCAGCACATCTGGTCAACTGAGTCGGCTTGTCCACCATTTGCCGTTATCCTCACCAAGGGTCCCCCTTCAGGGACAGACGACTGAATACAGGCTGAGCAATGTCTGGTTCCTGCTCACATGAAGATCTCACTCCCTAACTACCAATGGGGTGGCATACGCTTGATTCTGACCTTCAGGACCCTGTGCTGAGTCAACCACTCTTTCACTTAGGACCCCAGGGACCTGTGTCCAGCATTGGCGAGCTGGTCTACCTAGTGGAGGTGCCCTGAAACAAAGGAAAACCAAGCATGCTTCTTGGGGATCAACCCCAGGACCTTAACCTCACAACAAGGCATCCAAACCAATGCCCTCACGGCTGGAACACCTTATGGGATGTGTGCTCTGAACGTAGAAAGAAAATTAGCAGAACGGCCAAAATCTGATGGGCTTGAAGTTCAAAACTCTAGAAGCTGCGGGTGGGGAGTATAGCTCAGTGGCAGAGCACGTGCCTAGCATGCACGAGGTCCTGGGTTCAACCCCCAGGACCTCCATCAAACAGTGAATTTAAAAAAATGTATTTTAATCCAGAAGCTCTGGCACCATGACTGACTCAGTTCGCTTTCTGGTTCTGAGAATCCGGTTTCTTGTCAGGCAAGAAAACTAAAGGAGGAAGCGGAAGAACACCTGTTCTGAACTCATCATTTTTCAGAGTCCCTTTCACACCTTCCACCTCCGGTGACCCGTAGGCGGCACGTGTGTGTGACGCAGGAGGAAACGGAGGCAGCGGAGTTCACCGCCGCGGGTGAGGGTCACAGCCTGCCTCTCTGCGCTGGGTATGAGGCTACCGTTCCCAAGTAATGAGCTGTGACAAGTAATATGATTGACGTACAGCTTGTCTCTCCAGGCCACTTACAGTCCCAAAGCCAGAGATGCAATGTGCTCTAAGCAATGAGACAGCCCACATTCTCTCTCCTCCGCTCCTCCCATCTCCGCCGCTGGGGACCTGCTCAGGAAGAGGAAAAAGAGGGAGCAAGGGGCCCAAGGCATGGCTGTGGCCGGGCAGATTTCCACGTCCCTACAGCATGTGATGGGTTGTTTCGTTTTGTTTTGTTTTGTTTTTTCTGCTTTGGAGCCTGCGTCCTAGTTTTTGATTCTTCTATACCTTCTCCGAGGTATTGAGTCCCAGCCGTCACAAAAGGCAGACTCGTGCAGGTCCCTCCCGTAGGTCATTTCACTCATTGCTAACGCCAGTGGACGGGCAGACTCCACCCAGACAGTGAATTTCCTCTTCTAGCCAAGAGGCACTTGGACGCTAACTCAACACTGAGCAGCAGCTCCTGCAGATTCAATTCTAGCTCCACAGGGTGATGAAGCAGCAAAAGAGGGTGGTGGGTCCAGGAAGGGGAGGCACGAGAAGAGACGGGTGAAACCAGAGAGGCTAGTACTCACAGGGCATCGGTGCACCAGCCAGTACGCCTTCTCCTGGCAGTCCAGCGCATACCTGTCCGCTTTATTCCTTTCCTTTCCAGCCCTGAAAAGCCAAAAGCCACATGAAAAGCCAGTAAGATTGTGCATTTTTTGCTCAGTCATGGACCTCATTCCTGACAGACCCCACCCCGGACCACTCTCCCAATCTGCGCAAATCATCTGTGCCTGCCGTAATAATGGTCATGAAAACCACAAACACTAACATCACACCTCTGCACTAGGCACCCTGCTAAATACTTTCACACCTGTGAACTCACTGAATCCTCCCAGTGAGTCTTTCTCACTTTGCAGTTCAGGGGATTGAAGCAAAGAGAGGTTGAACGCCCCACTGAGGGTCACATGGTCAGCATGTGGCAGAGGTGGGACTTGAACTTGGAGTCTGGTCAGCTCCCCCTGCCAACAGGACCCGCCCGAGAACAAGCCATCCCCGCCAACTTCACCACTGGAGCAGCGAGCGTGGAAGGTACTCTGGGCTGACACCGGACCACCTGGCCTCTGAATTTTTCCCGGTTGTGACAAACACCATAATCAGCATCTGAATGAGGCAGCCAGCACTGCCAGAGCCTGTGCCGGGAAAGCACTGGCCCCAGGGAGGCCTTGTTTCTCTCCATCTGTCACTTCCACTCTGTCACTTCAAAGGGTTCATGCCAAGTCAGGGTTTTTCTGAGCCCAGCTTACGAGTGTAAAAGGTGATTTATTCCCCCTGTATCTCCCGGTCTCCCCCTTTCCTATTATGGATAGGAAATGATCGCTGCGCTTTCCTCTTACAGGAACAAGGTAACGTTCATGATCGAGCCACGGGCCCCATCCAGCACCATTTCCACGGCGACCCGCACTCACAAGCAGTGATGCTTGCTTTCCCAGGCAACGTGGGATGACGCACATGCCCTCCACGAGACAGCGTCGGCGGATTTATGTGCCAGCTAAGGGATCGTGAATAACATCCCAGCATCCAGAGAGCCAGATGCGGGGGGAGTGCCACTCCTGCGGGGGCTGCTTTGCAACCTCCTCTGGAAATCAAATAGAAACACTGTCGCTCCCTTCCCCTCGCCAACCTAACTGGGCTGTCTACCGGGCTAACTGGCCCGGGTCCTCAGGAGGACGGGCCGCAGATGGCCGGAGGCACCGCGGAGTTCCCAGGACACCGGACAGCCTTGGAGACAGAGTCGGCCGCTAATGACAGCGATGTCTCTCCTGGCCACGCTCCTCTGCTCTTTCGTGACAGGCGTGACTGCAGGAGAGTCGTGATGAATGGAATCCAAGAGAAGCAGTACGTGAGGAATTATCTTACTTTGTCTTGTGTGATCAATCTTTACAAGCAACAGTATTACAATCAATATTCATTCGTTCGTTCGTTCGTGTATTTATTGATTTCCCACTAGGTGCCAGGCACTGGGAGTATACGCGTGAACCAAACAGACTGTTGTGGAATGAATGTTTGTGCCCTCCATCCCAAATTCATATATTCAAGCCCCAACATGAGCGTATCTGGAGATGGGGACTTTTAAGAGGTAACTGGAATTTAGAAGTAATTAGATGAGGTCATGAGGGTGGCCCTTATGATATGATTAGTGCCCGGGCAACAGGACACACGAAGAGCATCTCACTCTGTCTTTTTCTTCCTCTCTCTCTCTTTCCCCTTCTCTCTCCTCCCCCAAGTGAGGACACAGCAAAAAGGCAGTTTCTACAAGCCAAGAAGAGAGTCTTCATCAGACACCAAACCCTGTCAGGACCCTGATCTTGGGCTTCCCAGCCTCCAGAAGTGTGAGAAAACCAATGTCTGTTGTTTCAGGCACCCGGGCTAGGGTGTTTTGATGCGCTACGGTATTTAGCTTAAGCTAACACAGACCCATTTCTTGCCTTTGAGTAGCTTTCGGTGTAAACATTACACACATGGTCAAGAAACAGATATAAAATTACAAACTGTGTGACGAGCTATAAGGAAACATTACGTGTCCTGTCACGCAGAATCGGGGACGGCCAGGGGGTGCTTTTTAAATCTGTCTATAATTCTTAATAATAAGTCCTTCCATTAAGAGGTGGGTCTGTGTCCTCCCCCCCTGAGACCAGGTGGGGTCTAGAGGCGGTTCTGACCAGCAGAGTTTACCGGAGACGGCCCTCTGTGATTCCCGAGGCTGCGCTCTAGAAGGCAGTACAGCTGCCTTCCTCCTCGCCGGAGTACTTGCCCTGGACGCTTCCAACCACCTGTCAGCAGTGTCACTGCCCAGATGCCACCGTGCTTTGAGGAAGCCCCAGGCAGACCTCATGGAGAGACCCAGAGGCCACCAGATGAGGACAAGAAATGCCCAGCCCTCTGACCCGCAGCCCCTCGAGAGACTCTGACTCACAACGGCTCAGCCAAGCTCACCCCAAATTCCAGACCTACAGAGATACAATAAAATAACCATTGCCACTTGGAGCCACTCTGTTTTAGGATGCTGTGTGTGCGGTACTAACAGTTCATCAGAAAAGCCTCTTTGAGCGCATGGCACTGGAAAGGAGGGTTTTCTCTCTAAATGATGTGATAGGATTCTATTTTGTGTTTCAAAAATGGGGCAAAGGGGAGCAGAGAGGCCAGTTGGGAGGACCCTGCCATGGTCCAGCTGACAGGGAGGTGGGTTCCACCCAGGGGAGAGGCAGTGGAGGCAGACAGAAGGGGGCAGGCATGGGAGAAGGGGTTTTGCCAGAGGAAGCAACAGGACTGGAGTACTGAATGGTGGACATGGGTGGGGGAGAGGTGAACGGGGGTTCCTTGTACCGGTGGGGGTCATGCTGAGGGAAGAGAAGGTTTGGGGAGGGAGGGGGAAAACATTCCAACATGGACTAGTTAAGTTTGAGGTGTAAAATCCTCTCCAGCCACCATCACCATCCTTCACCTGGATGCATCCTGTCTCATCAGCATGAGATGTTGAGTATGTAGCTGGATGCTGAGTTTGGGATCCAGAGAAGAGGTCTGGGTTGGGAGACCAAGTGTAACAAAACGACTACCTCACGAACCAACCTACATGGCCAACCTAATTCTGCAATGAGACCCGGTACTTGGATTAGTCAGCTTTCTCCAGAGAAACAGAATCAGTAGAATAGATGAGAGAGAGAGGGACAGGGACAGAGACAGAGACAGAACTTGTTTATTTTAAGGAATTAGTTCACACCATTGAGGAGGCTGGCAAGTCCAAATTCTGCAGGATACACCAGCCAGGGAAGAACTGATATTGCAACTCGAGTCCAAAGGCAGTCTAGGGGTAGAATTGCTTCTTCCTGGGGGAATGTCAGTCTTTTAAGGCCTTCAGCTGATTGGATGAGGCCCACCCACATTCTGGCGAGCAATCTGCTTTACACAGAGTCTACTGATGTAAATGTTCATCTCATCTAAAAAATACCTTCACAGTGACATCTTAAACTGGTATTGGATGACCTATCTAGGTACTATGGATGAACCAAATTGACACATAGAATTAACCATCACACAGTGGGTGCAAAGCATGTCAGGGCTCCAGCTGGCCCACAGTGGACATGTAACAGCAGCAAGAAATGAACCTTGTGGTTTCATCCCCCTGAGCATTGGGAGCTGCTTGTTACGACAGCCTAACCTCATCCTGACTGATACACTCTTCCTAACATTTATATCTGGCTCCTATGGACAAGGCAGAGACTCCAAGGGATCTTTCAGGTCCAGTTTTGAACTGGCAAATGAGGACCAGTAGTGGGTGGCTCTCACAGATGAATCTGATTACATCTCTCCCCTGTTTAAGATCTCTCTATGGCTCCCCATGACCCTTAGCACAAAGCCCTCTCATGATCTGCTCCTGCTAACATGTCCAGTCTCACTTCTGCCAGTTTCACACTCTCTGTGCCAACTACAGGGAACTGCACCCAGCAGGCACTCCCTTGCCCCAGACTCTGGTTCTGTCTGCTCAGAGCATCCTTCCTTCCATCTCACCCTTCCTCCCCAGCCCCCACCAGCATCCTTCACCTGGATACATCCTATGCAGCCTCCAGATCCAATGTTGTTTCTACAGCTCCTTCTCCAAACCCGGACATGTGCCTCTCAATTCACTGTAGCATCACGGCCTGTTTGCTTGTCTGCCTGACTCCCTAGAAGATGCCTTTACATCCCCTATGCCCGGCCCATTGTTTAATACATAAAACTCCCAATGAAAGTTTATTTTATTAAAAGAAAACAAAGAAGACGGGGAGGGAGGAAGCAGCACCAGAGGACCAACATGATTTCTCACTTACCGGTACTGCTCTTTGGCCTGCATGACCACAAAGTCCCACTTGTAGTTAATTTTTCTGTTCAAGAAATCGTAATTTTCCTAGAGAAGGAAAACAAAATGAGAACGCTTAGCCCCATGACATATGTTGTGTGCAGAAGGTAGAAAGCCCTAAGCCAGTGAGGGCAGGCCCCAACTTTGCATCAACTAGACCTGGACAAAGGGTCTCCCGGCCCAGCCTTGCAAAGGGCTTCATTCAAAGGGTAGCACCAAATGCTCAAAAAGCCTTCACAACAGAAGCCACATCTTAGTTTGGATTTTTGTGTTCAATAATGGATCCCAAATCTGATGAGGAAGAGGGGAGTAGCGTGGAGAAGAATACAGAAATATTCAACAACAGAGCATCGCAAACCCACAAAGATAAGCCCTAACATTGGTGCGATGTCGGCTCCTCTCAAATCGTGTTTGTTAAAAATAAAAGTGCAGTAAGATGGTTGCTCTCTGCCCAGAAATCCAGCCTTCGGGAGGTCAGGGTGTGTTCTTTGAGAAATCTAACTCATCCTGCCTAAAACAAAAATCTATACTGTTGTTTTCCCCATGACAAACTCGAGTTCAAATCTGTTCATCCTGTACTATGCATTCTCACACATATTAATTAAGTCATATTACTTAGGAACAGTGAAAGGAAAGCTACTGTGCGCCCAGGAGTTACTGAGGCGGCGGCCTGAACTACAGCAGGAGAAATGGCAGCTCAGCATGGCGGGGAATTTACCTCAGCTGCCTGCTTCTAAATATATAGATGGATGAGGGATGGATGGATGAAGGAGGGATAGATGAGGAATGGATGGATGGATGGATGAGGGATGGGTAGAGGGATGGATGATCAGGGTACATATGAAAGTAGTAACAGGGGAACAGGGGAAAACAGCTCAAGACTGTATTCCACTCAATTATAATAACCCATACTTGAAAGCATCTCTATACCTTTTCATATTCTTCTAAAATCCCTTTCTTCTTGATATTTCGCTTGGCCAGATAAATAGCTGGAAAAGAAAACAATGACATTTTCCATCATCATCAAATTCCAAAACCCTTCTGTGCGTGAGACTGCCGTGCTCGGCTTGGTGCAGAGCACAGCCAGCGGACCCGCCCCCCCTTCCCCTGGGGATCAGTTCTAATACAGATGCGAACTGACATAAAGGTCGTGGTGACAGCAAGACAAATGCCACCAAAATGCAGCGAGTAAATAAGCAGCCTGTGAAGCACCACCGAAGGCACCGGAGGAGGGGTGGGGTTTTACCGTAGTCTGTGTCTTCGGCCGGCCACTGCTGGGTGGGCCAGAAATACGGCGTCTACAAAAGAAACCAGGAAACCACGCTTACCCTCTGGGCTGAGACCCCCTGGACCCCAGTCCCGTAGCTGACAAGATAAAACCACCTTAGCCTCTTCCACTGTTCCCATAGATCTGTGAGGCTATGAAGCCATCCAGTTATCTTTTCAGGCCCATTTTCACACCCAAGGTCAAGGCCAAGACTCACCTGGAATCGGTAGAGGCTGCTGTCAGGCTTGAGAACGAGGTTCTTGGGGTCTTGCAGGGGGTAAATGTAGCCATACTTGACAATGAAGTTGCCCAAGTTCTGTGCCTCTGGGGAGAAGCAGTCATGACAAGGAAGTTAAGAGTAGACGCTCACTGCCTGGGCCCCACACGGCACCCCAAACTCCAGGGGAGGTGCCCCCCTCCTAACAGCATGTCATCCAAGGAGGGAGGACAGCGCTCCCTGGACTTAGTCATGGGGAGCATGCTTAAAGGAGGATCTCCCGGCCCAACCCTGGGAATGACAGCTCAGTCAGTCTGGAGGGGAGCCCGTGAAGCCCACTGTTGACAGATGCCACAGGGCGTCCACTGCAAGCGTTTGGGGTGACAGATGGGGAAGTGAAGCATCCCTGGGCTCTATGGGTCTGGAGAAGCCCCAGGGACAGGGAGAGACGGCTTGATCAGCAGCCATTTCCTCACTCCGAGAGAGAAGGGGAGCCCATGTTTAATATCAACTTCCATCCCAAGCTCAACTCTGCCTGCATCCCAGGGCCAGATCCTTCAGCTCCTCCCCACCTCACTTTAACTTCCACCCCGCTCCAGTTTGCTTGGAAACATGGTCTTGCTTCTGGACTCGCATCAGTTAAAACAAAACTGTTCTGGTTCATTCTCAGAGGCACCAATGAGAGCAGGTGTCCTTCTACGCATCGAGAGAGAATTCCATCCCTTCCTGTCCTCCAGGCTCCAAAGCCCAACCCACATCCCATCCCAGAGCTTAGTCTCCAAGGAGTGGAAAGACTTCCTCCCTCTTCACGTCTCCCTCCCTCTGTCAGAGACCAGACCCTCATTTTTTACACCTGGTTGTACCAACAGCCTTTTTTTCTAGAGGCAAGTCTGGTCCCAGAGCCTTTTGCTGCAATCCATCCTTCAAATTGCTGCCAAACATCCTAGCTGAAATACAATTATCATACACACTGCCATGCTCAAAAATCTCTTCTGGCTTACTGTTGCCTCTATGCCAGATACAACTTGGAATCTGCTAATACACTAGGTGCGTCCCACCCGCCCACCACCCTCCACACCCAGATGAAGTTGCTGTACCCAACTTCCCCTCGTGACCATTTCTTCTTCATTCCATTTCTACATCAATGCTCTTGCTAACTGCCCCCCTGGGAAGACAGACCCTCCAGACTCCCCTCCGCAATTCACATGCGTCGCTTCTTTCGAGAACAGGTGTAGATATGCATCACTTCCTCCAAGAAGTCTTCCTTGACTGACTCCTCCCCAATCGCTCCTGCTATTTACATGCTCTCAATATTTTATATGAAACAAAAATTTGTCCCCCCGATTATCATGCCTTCCATTTTGATTCTGCTTGTTTTACGCATGAAGGCCTTGTCTCTCCAATGAAAAGGTCAGCTTCTCAGAGACTGAAGCTTCCATTTAGTTTCTACTTTTCAGAGATCCCCCGGTGGACCGCGGTCCTTGGTAACTGAGGGCCGGACAAGCTCTCACCCGGATTGGAGATCCAAAGCCGCTGGATGATCCACTGCAGAACCTCATTTCCTGCAAAGCAGAGGCATTGGGCAAATGTCAGAGCCTCTTGACACACCCCCGGCCTCCACACCCTCCTCCGTGCTGCGGCCCAACTGGCCTCCTCCCCATTCAGCTGTGATCGCACCCCTCTTCTGCTCAAAGCTTTCAGGGACTCCCCGCCACCCTGCCCACAACCACATTCCGTTCAAACCCTGCAGCCCATAATTCAGGGCCATCCATGATCCGACTCCAGCCAGATTTCCAGCTTACGCTTCCCTGTACACCCTCAGTCTTTACCTCCCTTGGGTACTCATTTTCTCAGCTTACAGGAGTTTGCACATGGACCCTCATTCATCCAGTAGGAAGCAAACAGTCATCAGACTTAGCAATGAAAAGAAACAGACCCAAAGCAAGCTGCCCGTGAGGTTCTGGGTGGAGCTTGGACACATGGGAGTAAATGAGAGCCAGGGGTGGGAGGAGAAGTGGGCGTGGGCCACGGTGGGGGGAGGGCTGGTTCTCCTATACCCCCAAGTTCCCAGGCAGAACTCTAAAGAGTCAGAGCATTCTAAATCTAATTCTAAAGTCTTAAATCTAAATTCTGAAACTCTATAGAGTCAGAGAGTCCCAGAATTCTAAGCGCCTGGCTTTCAAGGTACTTTTGTTAGAGCAGGAGGGTGGGACATATTTTAGTAATTGCGGGTTGATTTACGACTTCAGACAGTGGAATGTGGGCTCCGTCTGTACTCTCGCCCTGGGCCCAGTAAGTCGAAGGGGCTGGCCTGGGAACAACGCAAAGTGAAGACTGGCATGAAAAACAGCAGGAGAGGCAGACAGGGACCAGGTCAGGAGGGAAGGTGCACCCCTCCCATCACCACCCTCTGCCCCAATTCAGATTTATCTAAGGGCCAAGGCAAGCCAAGTTCCACCAGCAAGTCCAGAGCTGTTGCAGGAACTCAAGGAGGCCGTGTACCTCCCTCCAGCCCCATAAGCAGAACATGCTCCTTGTAGGAGGTGGGCAGCACCATCTGATAAGAAAGACGTGATGTTCTGGAACCAAGCATCCCAACTCAGTCGTCACTTTGCCAGTGACTACGGTTTCCAGCAACTCCAGCCTGCTTTACAAAAGTCAAGCTGAGTCCCCTGCCTGCAAGGGAACCAGCCCACAAAACACACCAAGGAGGAGGGTCGGGGTCTGAAACCCCACTGCCTGTGTCCTTGTGGCTGGACTGCTGGAAACAACACTCCCCTCCTCCAAGGTGATGAAGGGGCATCTCGTCTGACGCCCTCCAGGGAAGGCCCTGATGGCGCCCCATACACGCTCTGGGCTTAACCACCTGCCCACAGCATGGCTGAGGACGGACAATCTGTAGCTCTCTCCTTCCTAGGCACGCCCCGGGGCACACACAGCCAGACGTCCTCTCCCAGTGCCCACACGCCCACCTTACGGCTGTCAGTGGGTTCTCTGTTGCTTTTGGCTTTATTCAGCCCTGGTTGGCTGTTTAAAAGCAAAATTCTTCATCTAAAATCCTACTTAAAATCCTAGGACTGGGTGTTTCAGACCTTCCACCCCGAGGCTCTGCACTGGTGGTGCACAGCCAGGGAAGGAGAACCCCAGGCAGACAGCAGATAAGCGCTCTCCACCAAGGAGCCCAGGGTTTTCTCATTCACTTGGCTGCTTCCTGAAATAGATCAAATGAGATTATGGGGCCACCAGTATTTCCAACACGTGACCGACCGGTGCTGACGGCACAGCCAGCAGCTCAGGCTCCCACGTCAGCCACCTTGGTCCCCAGAAGTCCTGGGTCACCTGCCATCTGAGGAGCTGGACAGCGATGAGCCAATTTGCTTTTATTAGAGCTGATGCTGCAGGACACAGCTCCTCCTAGGTGAATTCACCCAGGCAGGAGGGACAAGGTGGGCAGCCCCACCCAGATCCAGGCACTAAGCGGCCACAGGTGCAAGGAAGAAAGCAGCTCACACCGCGTGTGACGATCGACAGGAGTGTTGGCGCTGGAGTCGGGTAGCTGGGCTCCAATCCAAGCTCAGTCACGTATGCATTTAGTGACATGGGGACAAGGTGCTGGAAGTCTTTGTGTCTCCACGTCCCCGTCTGCAAGAAGGGGCTGGATGGTCAAATCTCTCACTACGTCCATCGTGGGTAGTAACTGACACGCTGTGGGAAGTTGCTAGCTGCCGGCCCCCCAGGAGCATCACTGAGCGCTGGCCACGTGCACAGAACAATCTCATCTAATTCCTGCAGTCATTTCCTTAGGCAAGGATCGATATGCCAGCTTTTAAAATAAGAAAATTGAGACTAGGGCTACACAACAAAAAAAAAAAAAAAAAAGAGAGAGAGAGAGAGAAAGAATAAAGTGCCCAAAGGGCTCAATCCCAGGGTGCCTCCAGTGCCCTCTGGGCAGCGTGCTAGACCAGGACTGATTCACGCATTCAATGACCTTTTATTAAACTTCCACCCTGACCCACAACTGTGCTAGGCACTGGGGTTACCCAGGTGAGCAAGATGAGATATCCCCTCACTGAGGATCTCCCAATCCAGCGGTGAATTCAAGCCAGAGTTAATGACAATGGCGGGGGTGGGGGGGAGGCGGGGTCAGGGATGCTCAGGAAGAATTATCACACCTGCATCTTAAATGCCAGGGGAGGGGAACAGAGACACCTTGAAAAGTTGGCCCATCAGTCCCTGCTTTCTGGGAGCCCAGGCTACTCTGGCTCCTAGCCTTTCCCAAGTCTAGCCCATGAGAGTTTTCTCTTCTTCTGTGAGCTACCCTGCTGGATCGCAGTCAACTCCTCTACTGCTCCCACCAGCCAGAGCTGGTCGTCTGCTGCTTGCACTCAGGGAACCCAAGTGGCACCTAGCTGGCGGGGGCACCCCTCCTCCCAAGCAATCCAAAAGGGAAAAGGGACACTGTCAGCTAACTTGCCTCTGAAAAGACTCTGGCACCTTGAGTGAGAAATACTCAGGTCTCGGGTGGGGAGGAGAGCGAGGGCTCACAAGGCTAGTGGCACAGTGGCCCGTTCCTGGCTCGTGCTTCGAGAAGCTGCCTGCTTCTGCAGACAATGCCCCTCAGCAGGAAACAGACTCTTTACTACAAGACCCAAAATCATAAAACATATGCAAAGCATTAATTAAAATGCGTTCCTATTTTGGGGTCCAGCCCCTTCGGCCGATATCCTTAAATGATGTCCTTTAGCCCACACCCAGAGGAAGGAGACTATGGTGTACCATCATCCCCTTGGGGGAGTTAAGAGGGGTCTAAGTGTGAATCAGAAGACAGGGATGGATGGAGCAAACAAAGGCCAATTTTTTTTTTTTTGCCAAATAGTATTTTTTTCACCAAATAGTATTTTTTTCTGCTACTTGATTTTATTAAAACAAAACAAATAAGACAAACAAAACAATATTAAAAAAAAAACAGTAAAGGTTTTTAAAATGACTTCTTGGGAAGAATGGCTTTACCAAGTGACCCACTGAATTCTTTTCTCTTTTCCTTTCTGACTCCCTCCTCAGAAGCTGTGGTCCAGGAATCAGCAAGTAAGCAGTCAATGTTTTCGGCTTTGTGGGCCATAATATGGCCCCTACACAACTACTGAACTCTGTCTTGCAGTATAAAAGCAACCAGACAATACATACGGGGGGACGTGTCTGTGTTCCAATAAAGCTACGTTCACAAATACAGAACACGGGCAGCATTTGGCCCGTGAGCTGTAGTTTGCCAGCCCCTGCGTGTGGTCTGTTCCAGGCCAAGACTAAATCACAAGACATATTACCCGTCATGGCGTGCGGGACGCTGGCGACCGTGATCTTCTGGCTCTGCATCCTGACCCCCGTCTCTGGGTCCTGCATGTCCTTCACCAGAGTTTCAATCTGCAAGACAGAACCACAAATGCTGGCTGAGCGGAACCACTTCAAAGGCTGAGAACGGCCCTTTCTGCAGCGCCGAGGGAGCAAAAGATACAAAGAGGAACACGAGGCGCTTACAACCAGGAGCCCACCACCGGGACGGGCAGCGAGCAGCTACCAGGCAACCAGCACGAAACACAGTTCACAGACACCAACACCCCGCCCGGTGTGAGACTCAGAGAGATGCCTTCTGACTTGGGGACTCGGCAGAGCCTTTCAAGGGAAGATGAGACTTAATCAAGAAAGGGTCTTGCTGGACAGAAAGTCAGAGAACAACACGAGCAAAGGCGTGGGAGGCCGGCGGTGCCCCGGGTGTGAGAGGGACAGGAAACCGCGGGAGAGGAGGCTGGAGCGGCAGCTGGAGGCCAGATCACAGTGAGCCTCGGGCACCTCTCCAGGCTGTGGGCTTTGTTCCAGCAGCTACTGCCGGAGAGCCGTGCAGTCGGGCCCGCGCTTTGGAAACGTGGCCCATGCCGGAGAGAAAAACATCGAAGTATGAAGAAGTCTGCCAAGATAGAGAAAAGTGGAGGGTCTGTTCAAAACTACTGCAGAAGTCCGGGCAGGAAGTGACGGCGCCTCGTGCCTTGCCACTTTACCCCTCGGTCCATCCTCAGCTGAGCAGCCAGCGTGGGACTTCCAATTATTTTAGGATGTGTCCCTTCTCTGCCTGAAACTCTGCAAGGACCGTTCCACCCAGAGTCAGTGGCAAAGTTCTCCTACTGGCTGGGACCCCTTCCTCCCCGACAGTGCCCAGCCCTCTGCCTCAGGGCCTTTGCTCTGACCATTCCCCAGGCCTGGGCCACTCTTCCCAAGACTTCTACAAGGTTCACTCCCTCACCTCCTTCCTCTTCTCACAGTCTCAGGAGCCCCCCCGCCCCGCCACCCCATCCTACTGAATGCTGCAACCCTGAACTCCACCCCAGCATCCCTAATCCCTTACTTGCTCTTCCCAGAGCGCTCACCTTGTAACATACAAAATAACCTACCTGCTTATCATAATGCTTACTGTGTGTCACCCTTGCTCCTAGAAAGTAAGTTCTTCGAGGGCAAATCTTTTGTCCGCTGCTGTTTGCTGCTGCATCCTGACTGCCTGGAACAGTGCCTGGCACGTGGACAGGACTCAGTAAATCACTGGTGCAAGAATTAATAAATAAACAGAGGAACTGGTAGGAAAGACGAGAGGACGGCATGGCTTCCAGGGCCCTAGTTCTAACTCTAATTAACTGGAATTACATGTAACCTGCAAGGGATGGGCTGGTTCAGTAAGGGTGGCGAAGATGAACCGCCAAAGTTTGTAAGTGACATGGCTGGAGTTGCCAGTTGCCAAAATAGAAAATTCAAAAGAAGGAGCACTGTCTGAGAGCAAATGCTTCTGCTTTCGGAATGTTGGCTGCAAAGGGCTGCTGAGATATCCACAACGTCTGCAGGGTGACTGGAAATAAATGTCCCAAGTTCAAAGGACATAAGGGTCAGAGATATGAACTCAATTGACGAATGTCGACAAGAGAGTGGAAGCCAAAGAGTCTCAATGAACTGCCCAAGGAAGGCCGAAGTGCAGGAAGGCATTCACAAGGACAGCCCGGCTGACTGTCTTCAGAGTAATTTGTTTTTTAACATTGATGAGTAAAAAATATTTTTCCACTTGAAAAAAATGAAATGGGAGTAAAATCAACTGAAGGGTATTTTAAGACAAACTGGATGGGTTGGCACAATTGGAAAAAGACAACTCAAGTGTTTCTCTGGTCAGTGTTGGTGACTGGCATTGATGAAGCCTCCCACGCAGAGGTTTCAAACTTCATGCTGCACCAGGAAACCCCTCACCGATGGAGAAACCGTTCACTCCCCCAGCCCTCTACATGCTGGCAAATGATCAGTCAGTCATTCGACAACCAGGCAGTCACGGTTGGCTCTGGGAAACCAAAGACAAAAAGATCTGGTCCGTAAACTTAAGGGGTTCAGCGTCTAGTGCCAGGATATGACAGGACAACACGGGAAGCACACTGACAAAGGTGAGTCCGTGGAATCCTCAGGACACATCAGGGCCAGAAGGGAGTCAGAAGGGTCAGTCCTGGAGTGAATCTTCAAAAAGATGAATAGGAATTAAGCAGCAGAAAGGGAAACAGATGGTGGGGAAGGGCATTCCAGGCTGCAGGGGCAGCAGAAGCAAAAACACGGAATATGAACGAGTAAGTGGGAACAAAGACCTTTCCTGCCCTCCTCCCGCCAGAAGCCCTCTCCCAAGGGCTGGGCAGCTGTGCACAGCTGGACAGATCCCCCTGGAGGGTTGCCCCTCAAACCCAACCTGCCCGCATTCCAGCCACTACCCACAGCAAAACAGCTCCCTCAGCTGCCTGCTTCCCCCCTCCCCTGGTTTAACTAACTCGCTTACATCATTAGCCTCCTGCTAAGTAATAAAATAACACTCCCTCACACCATACAGCCCGTTACGATTTCCAAAGTCCTTTTAGAGTCTGCGTGTGCTTGTGGTCCAAAGAAAAGGAACCCATGGGTCTCACAGCCTCAAGGGGTCTCCTTTCTGTCCTAACTGTAGGAGTCACTTAACCTCTCTGAATCACCTTCCTCTACCATAAAATGATAGCATATGCTAATTAATAGGGCTTTGTCATTGCTGAGAATCTAATTGTGTAAAAACGCTTTGTAAGAACACATACACGTTACATACGCACAAAGGTACATAAGCATGAAGATACAGACTTTACACAAAGAGACATTTGTTAGCGGTTGTGCTTCGAATCATTAATATCAGTAGCATTCATATAATGAGGGCATCTTTAAAACTTTGCCTGCAGAGCTGTGTTTAGATGCCAGGGAATAAAAATCCTACGCTACTAACCATTCATATGTGGGTATTTACTGAGCATGTACTAGGGGCCCGACCCTGTCGGGGATTCAACAAGGTAAAAGACAGACTCCTGGTCCTCAGAGAGTTGGGAAGACATTTGTATGAAGATAAAAAAAATTATCTAAGATAAACACTAGGGATCTGGGTGCAAAAAAAGTTCAGTTCAGACCCCACTCCGATGAGTAAGCGAAGTAAATCACTAAATTTCACTAAGACGCATTCCTCTGTAAAACAGAGATTACAGTAGTAACTACCCCCCACCAGAGGGATGTTGTGAAGATTAAATGACATTGAGCATTTAAAGCACTTAGTACCAGGCGATGCACAGTGTCCATCAGACAGCAAATGCAGACTGAATTATGCACCAAAACACAGGGAAGGTACTGACTGGAATAAGAGTCAGGAGAAGAAGAGGATGGCTGAGCTGTGAACAAGGCGTTCACAGAGGGTGAGAAGGGTTTCCCTAGACGGCGGCTATACTCTGAGCCAGGGATGGTGTGACATCTTCTCTACGCAGGAAAGTGCAGGATTGAATTTGGGACCCTTGTGCACTGTTGGTGCAAATGCAAAATGGTGCGGCTGCTACGGAAAACAGTATGCAAGATGCCCCCAAAATTAAGAACAGAACTACCAGATGATCCAGCAATCCCACTTCCGGGTAGTTATCGGAAAGAACTGAAATCAGGATCTCAGAGATGTGAGAGCTCCCAGGGTCACGGGGGCGCCATGCACACCAGCTGAGATGAGGAACAACCTAAGTGGCCACTGATGGACGACTAGATAAAGAAAACTGGGCACGTCCATTGGATACTGAAATACTACTCGGCCCTAAAAAAGGAAGGAAATTCTGCAATGCACAACAGCACGGATGAACCTAAAGGACGTTATGCCAAGTGAATAAGCTAGTCCCAGAAGGATGGCGCAGTTCTACTATCTAAAATAGGCTAATTCATAGACTCAGAGTGGAATGGCGGTTGCCAGGGGCTGGTAGACAGGGAAATGGGGAGCTGCTAATCGGCGGGCATAAGGTTACAGTCAGGCAAGATGAATTAAGTTCTTGAAATCTGCCCTACAATACTGTATCTACAGTTAACAACATTGTGTGCACAGTTTAAAAAAGTTTTAACGGGTAAATTCTCAAGTGAATGTTCTTATCACAATAGAATAGAATTTTTTTAAAAGACGAGAGAGAGAGAGGTTGACCGGGCTGCACTGGAGGTGACAGGTCACGCAGGGGAGCCCTGAACTAGAGAAATTCTACCCGCCACCCCCCATTTCCACCAGCTCCTGAAGCTGGAAGGCTCCCACCTTTCCAACGAGGGAAGCAGTGTCGGACAGACCACGTCCTAAGTCAACACGAGGGCTGGGGTTTCCTATTTTGATCTGTTGCTAAGCCAGCATTTGCAGCAGGACCACAACCCTGAGAGAGGGCAGAGGTCAGGTGCAAGGTCAGGCCGCTCCGGGCAAAGCGCCAGCCGCTCAGCTGGTGCGAGACTGGCCGGGGCTCCTTGAGCAAGACTGATTGCAAGCTCCATCCGCACAGACACTTTCTTGGCTCCTAGAACTGCTCTGGAACAGAAACTGTTCATTTCGGCTCCATTTGGAGCTGCAGAGCTCGGCCTTCTGAGATGTCAGTAGGTTTCACTGGGTCAGCCGAGTGACCCACAGCAGAGAGGGAAGCAAAGAGACGCCCTGGGGGAGGGTGCTGGAGGGTGGCCTGCTTCCCCTGGACACAGTCAGGGGACCGAGGAGCCACAGGCTGCAGGAGTCACTTTTGCTGGAGTTTTGAGCCTACTGTGAGCCTCGGATTTACCTGCTGCTCCAAGAAGTGCCTACCTTTCCGACGTGAAAGCTCAGCCTCCCCTTCCCCACGTTATCTGCCAGGTAAATCACGTCCATCCCAAACCTTGCATTAGCTGAAACAACAGTGTCTCGTGGATTCAGGGGGCCCGTATCTTGGAGAAGAAGTAGAAACCCACCTGATGAGTTAGAAACCCGACTTTCTCCCACAGAAAGTCAGGGGATTTGATTCCTTCTCTTTGCAGTTAAAAAAAAAAAGTACTAGTTCTAAAGAGTTTGAAAATAACCTTCAGAGGAGGAA